CAATCCCAAGTCAAGCTTGTAGAGTTTATTTCGGTGTGACCTTCTTCCACCACCGATCTCATGAGTTGTACGACTGTCCCCGAGTTGAGCTCGTCGTCCTCGACCGATGACCTTAAGTTTGCAAGGGCATCGACCTCGCTATTTTGATCCCGAGGTACGTGTTGCAAAGTTCACTTCTTGAACCAGTGTAATGCTACCTGCAACTTATCTAGTTACCTTTGAATTCGTTCTTCTCTGACCTCGAATGTCCCATTAACTTGGTTCACCACAAAGAGGGAGTCGCACTTAGCTTCGATCACCTCCGCCCCAAGCTTTTGGCTAGTTCGAGACCTACAATCATGGCCTCATATTCGGCCTCGTTGTTAGTCAATTTTATAGTTCTAGTAGATTGTCTAACTACATTGCCTGTGGGTGGCTTCAATGTGATGCCAAATCCGGACCCTTTTGCGTTCGAGGCGCCGTCCGTAAACAGGGTCCAGTTCCCCGAAGACGTCCCCATGTTTACTAACAACTCCTTGTCGACCTCGGGTATTAGGGCCGGCGTAAAGTCAGCCACAAAATCTGCCAAAATTTGAGATTTAATGATTGTCCGGGGTCGATACTCAATATCGTACACGCTGATTTCCACGGCCCATTTGGCCAATCTTCCCATGAGTTCAGGTTTATGCATTATATTTCGCAATGGGTAAGTAGTCCATACACATATAAGATGGCACTGAAATATAGCTTCAGTTAGGCACTTAGCAAGGCGAGTGCCAGTTTTTCTAGGTGAGGTATCTAGTTTTGGCCTCACTTAGAGTCCTGCTAACATAATAAATTGGAAATTGCGTACCTTGCTCTTCCCGAACCAGGACTCTACTTACATCTATCTCTGATACTGCGAAGTATAGGTATAGTTGTTCATCCGTCTTCGGCCTATGAAGCAGCGGTGGGCTCGATAGATATCGTTTGAGTTTCTCTAAGGCCCGTTGGCATTTTGGGGTCCATGTAAAACTGTTCTTTTTCTTCAGTAGCGAGAAAAATCGGTGACACTTAACGGAAGACCTCGAGATGAATCGTCCCAGGGCGGCAATGCACTCGGTTAACCTTTGTACGACCTTCACGTTGTCTACCACCGTGATATCCTCGATGGCCTCGATCTTGTCGGGGTTGATCTCGATTCCCCGATTAGATACCATGAATCCTAGGAATTTACCCGATCTGACTCCGAACGCACATTTCTCTGGGTTCAACTTCATATTGTATTTCTTCATTATGCGGAAGGTTTCCTGCAAATGCTTTAAATGGTCCTCTACTCGAAGGGACTTAACCAACATATCATCAATGTAAACTTCCATTGAATTCCCTATTTATTCTTCGAACATACAGTTTACTAGGCGTTGGTAAGTGGCATCGGTACCGAATGTCATCATGTTATAGCAGTATGTGCCGTACTTAGTGATGAAGGAGGTTTTTTCCTGATCATCCGGGTTTATCCGTATTTGGTTGTAGCCGAAACATGCATCGAGAAAACTAAGGATCTCGTGGCCGGCCGTGGCATCGATCATGCGACCGATGTTGGGCAAAGGGAAAGAGTCCTTGGGACATGCATTATTCAAATCCTTATAGTCTACGCACATTCTTAATTTGTTCCCTTTCTTAGGGACTACCACTATGTTTGCTAACCATTTCGGGTATTTCACCTCCCGAATGGATCCTATTTTAAGGAGTTTAGATACCTCGTCCTTAATGAAAGCATGTTTGATCTCGGACTGGGGTCTCCTCTTCTGCTTGACCGGGTGGAATTTTTGGGTCCAGGCTTAGCTTGTGAGTGGTAATCTCCGGTGGGATCCCTGTCATATCAATATGGGACCAAGCGAAACAATCTATGTTAGCTATAAGAAATTGAATAAGTTTTTTCCTGAGGTCGGGGGTTAGCCCCGTGCTAGGTATACCTTCCAATCGGGTAGACGCTCGATCAATGTGACTTGTTCCAGCTTCTCGACCATTGATTTAGTGGCATCGAAATCATCGGGGACTATAAAAGATCTAGGAACCCCGTAATCATCGTCTTCATCAGTCCCCTACTTATCCGATTGGATCGTGGCCGATATCGATAGTTGCTATTTAGCCTCGTGCTTTGTATCCGAACTCGGTTCCTTTGATGTTGCCAGTGTTGGTACCGGAATCACTTCTTCGGCTGCAAACATTTCCTTTGCGACCAGTTGCTCCCCGTAGATTGTTTTAATCCCTCCTGGCGTTAGGAATTTTAACACTTGGTGAAGAGTCGAGGACACTGCCCTCATGTTATGGATCCATGGCCTTTCGAATAGGGCGTTCTACCTCATTTCTCCTTCGATTAGATAAAACTTGGTTTCCTGGATGGTCCCGGTGACATTCACTGGTAATGTTATCTTTCCCTTAGTGGTTTCACATGCCATGTTGAATTCATTTAGAACTCGGACTGCAGGCACGATTTGATCTTATAGGCCGAGCTGTTCTATGACCCTCGATCGGATGAAGTTGGCCGAGCTACCTGGATCAACTAACACACCCTTAACTTGAGATTTATTTATAAGTACATATATTACCAGTGCATCATTATGGGGCTGCACGATCCCTTCTGCGTCTTCGTCGTTGAAAGACAAAGTTCCTTCTAGTATGTAATCTCGAGTCAGTTTTTCCCTTGTGATGGATACTTTGGTGCATTTCAGCATCGGCCCTTGGGGAACATCGACCCCACCAATGATCTTGTTAATGACGTGTTGAGGTTCTTCTTGCTCGGTTTGTTTATTAGAATCCCTATTTCTGAAATGATTCTTGGCTTGATCGCTCAGGAATTCTCGAAGATGCCCGTTGTTGAATAACCGGGACTTCCTCTCTCAATTGTCGGCAATCCTCTGTTCTATGGCCGTGAGTACCATGATATTTGCATATCTAGTTAGGATCCCTTTGGGCAGGATCAGATTGTAGGGGTCGAGGCTATTTGGTGTCTTCGATGCGTTCGATAGCTGATACAATGGCGGCAATGTCGACGTTAAAGTTATATTCCGATAACCTCGTGCTTCCTTAGGCCCGGTAGGCCTATCGAAATCGTTCTTGCTCATGAGTCCCCGGTTGTTCTGTCCTCGATTACTTCTCCTCTCACTTCGTATAGAATTTCGTCCAGACCTACTGCTTCTTTGATCTCCATTGTATGGTTGATAACGATCCCTGCCTGATCTTGGTTTACGATCGATGTCTCTCTTGACTCTATCGGTGATTCTGACAGGATAAACGGACCCCAAAGGAGCCCCGAGTTGGTCGTCTTCGACTCTGATTTTTGGTTGATACCGATTATGTATGTCGGTCCAAGTGACAGCCAGATGTTCTATCAGTTTTGCTTTAATTGTTGTGAAGCCACCGAGCTTCGAACATTGAGTCCCTGGGTGAAAGCTTGAACGGACCAATCATCAGCGACTAGTGGCAGGTCCATCCGTTCCATTTGAAACCAGGACGCGAACTCTCTGAGTATCTCATTGTCCTTCTGTCTTACTTTGAAGAGGTCCGACTTCCTGGTCTCGACCTTGATAGCCCCGGCATATGCTTTTACGAAAGAGTTCGCAAGCATAGCAAATGAGTCAATAGAATTAGGAGGTACGTTGTGATACCATATCATAACTCCCTTTGACAGGCTCTCTCCGAATTTCTTCAACAAAACAAACTCGATCTCATCATCCTCCAAGTCGTTCCCTTTGATGGCGCATGTGTAGGAAGTGACACGCTTGTTTGGGTCGGTCGTCCCGTTATACTTAGGAATCTCGGGCATACGGAATTTTTTAGGGATCGATTTCGGGGCCGCACTCGGAGGAAAAGGTTTTTGCACGAACTTCTTGGAATCCAAGCCTTTCAGTACTGGCGGTGCTCCAGAGATTTGATCGTCCCTGGAATTGTAGGTTTCTACCTTTTTGTTATTTGCCTCAATTTTCTTTTCCCCTGATGTTATCCGTTTTGTCAGTTCCTCGTGCATTTTTATGATCTCGGGGTTAGTCCCTGAATCATCTCCATTCGACCTCTCCGCGACTGGTTCTTCCCTGCGGGTGATTTCCCGGAACGGATCGGGTTCAATTCTGCTCGGTGTGTGGCTGTGGTTTTGTAACTGAGCTATCGCTGCTTGTTGAGCCTGTAACATTTCGAAGATCATCCGTAGATTGATCCCGTCTCCTTCATTGTTTTGAGTATTCTGCGCTGTCGATCGGGCTCCACCACGGATGCTATTCTCGGGGTCGGTAGGCAGGTTTGTGTCGATAGCCACATGCGAGATAGCGTCCAACGGGTCCGCGACTGGAATTCTGATGGGATTAGCGGGTGGTAACTCGTTACCGGGCGCTATGTTGTTATTTTCACCGTGGTGACTGGACTCATTGTCAGCAGGTAGGGGTGCCAATTGTGAGTTTGACATTTTGAGCTTTAACCTAAAATCAGAGACACTTCAAAAAACAAGTGTAAAATAGTGTGTGTTATAGAAATTTGTATCAAATAATCACTATTATCCGGGGTCGATCTTCAACCCTTCATGTTTCAATCCCGACCTGTCATGCAATAGAGGAGCCCGGTTTTGACCGTATACAGATGTTTTAACAAATTAGTAGCAAAAATGATCGAATTGAATCGGAAAAATTGAGATAATTTAAATAGTTCGAAAACAAATTTAATTTGGATTATGCACATTAAATTAATCAAAAAATAAGTATAAATTATGAATTTCATCTATTACTATTTCTTAAAATTAAAATTACGGTTTTGCTATATTGTTGTTCGATAGCTTTATGTAACAAATGAGAATTACTAATATTTTTATTTGATATTTTAACGAATTAGTATCAGAATTACTCGAACTGAATAAAAAATCGAGATGAGTGAAACAGGTTAAATTTTTTAATTAACATTAACTTTAACCAAAAAAATTAGTATTAATATACTTTTTAAAGTAACAAGCTGACGCATAAATAGGACAAGATATGGAAATATAAAATCATGAAAAATAGTGTAGTATTAGGTAAAGAGGACGAAATAAGAGGCAGAAATTTTGTGGACAACAGGTAATGGGCATTTTACAACAATTCCGAGCAGTCGCCGGGAAGCTTTTCAACCGGAGAAGTCAACAGAAACCATCAGATGAATCATATGCTTCAGAAGGTTCGTACAGTAGTACCGATGTTACATCGGCGGTGACCAAAATCAGTAGTCCCGTCAAGTATGTCGGAGCTCAATCAGATGAGAAAATTAGCAACATTCTCTGCAAACTCCGTAAATTTGCTATAGTTTCTGCCGTTGACGAGTCTCTCAGAACCGTCGCTGGTCAGTCTCTCTCTCTCTCTCTCTCTCTCTCTCTCTCTCTCTCTCTCTCTCTCTCTCACACACACACACACACACACACACAGACACACACACACACACACACACACATGCTCTTCCAATATACTCTATGGGCAATTTTTGTAATTTGGAATGTCTATGTAGTTTATTTGTAAAGGGTTTATGAAGTGCTTACATACTAGTGAGGAATTGTCCGATTTCAATATATTGTTGAGTTTTGATGTTGGAATTAGTCGATTACTGTACGCACTTGATAATATTGATGAGGTTGAGCTGGATTTTATGTAAATAGGTTTTCAAATGGTTGAAATTGATTTCTCCTAAGCTTTGTACTGCATCAGAATGATGCGGTGTGTAAGGGGAAAGTCATAAACTACTGTTATACAACACTTTTATGACGGTAGTGTCGGGGTCAGCTTGAGCACACCTCGACTATTTTCACAAGATACCTACAACTTCTCACCTGCACATGGAAAGAAATTACCTAGTATTTACTTGCCTCCACTTCGATCTGAACATGTGACCTCCTGGTTCTCCTCCCACTTAATTGAGATTAGACTACACCCTTGGGGGCTGTTATACAACATATTGTTGAGTATGCCGTATTTCGTGTGAGAAACTCGGTGTGCAGTGCCATAGGAGTTATTGTGATTCTCAAGACATTACCTTAACTGATGGTGATTGAGAGAACCTTGGAGTTGGATTTCTCCCTTCTGCCTGTGCAATGTCTATAATCTTTATGGTAGAGTAATACAATCTATTACATTGATGATCGCTGGCTGATACATGAACCCAATTGGATGGGTGGGTTGATTTAAAGGAAGAGAGGCTAGGAACCTTTGTTTTAAGAGTGAGTAAAGTATAGAATGGTTGAAAATGTCTACTACTGTATTGTTAATAGTTTCCAGGGTTAGCTGTTTAAAAGAGAGTTATTTAGTTTAAAAGTTTCAGATAACTACTTACCTTCCATCTTGAAGTCGTCTTGTGAATAAACATCTGAAAGCCTGACCATTTTGTGACTGGCAACTGAAAATAGTTGCTGGTAGACTGTAAATATTGGACAACTATCAGACCAGAACTTAATTCTGTTGGTAACTTTGCATATATCATATGTTGCTGAAGTACCTCCCCTTATTAACTATCCCTTCCAAATCCTGTACTATAAGCTATAACAGAGTCTAGCTTATTCATGTTTCCGGTTTACTTCCTCATGTTTGAATTTACATCTAGCTCATTTAAGTCTGCCAGTTTCCTTCCTCATCTTGTATTTATTGTGCATGACCTTCCCCCAAATATGGTACTTAATTTTTCTGTGTTTCTTTGGAATAATTGCTTTCAAGTAATTGCTTTTGCTCTTCCATTTTGGTTGAGCATTAAAGTTGGATTGTTAATCCTGACAAATCACCAGAAGTTGAAATGTTTAGAATTAAGTTGAACCCAGTGAATGTAAGATTTTCTACCTTTCTATATTGCCATATTCTGTAATTAGTTCTTCCAGACTTAATTCTTGGTATAAAGGGGAACTTTTTGTTTCTGAAGTTTGTTTGGTAGGACCTCAACATGATAGAAAACACAAATCGAGCATGGCGTGGTTTGCTCATAGTTTGAATTAGTTCAAATGGTCTTCTGTCGTTCATTCTCATAGTACACCCTTATCTTTGGGGTTAACTTATCATGAGCTTACTTCATGTATTTTTCTCCTTAGAATTTTTTCTTTCTTTTTGGGTTGAGGGGGATGGGGGGAGGGGGTAGGGGGGTATGGGGATGGTCGGGGGATGGGGGTATCATTAGGAGAGTAATAATTTGGTCTGCCTGTTTGGTTGATGGTTGGGAAGGGCAATAGGTGCAAATAATTATCTATTGATCCAAGCAAAAAGCTGGTGGGATTCTGATCATTGCTAATCTTGAGAAAGCATCCTCTATACCCCAGCCAGCACAGTCTTCCTTCGCTCTGACCATACTCTTCACTAAAGCTTTTGGAGTGTAATTCTATACTTAGGATATGATAGTCATAGGATTGTAATGCTTACTACTGTTTTAGCCCTTAAACTCGTGTATCTTTCATGGGATACTTGTTTCTCCAACCTCCTTCAGGATCCCTGCTGTTTCTGTCATCACCACTTTCATCCTATGTTGCTCGGACTCTATCTGAAAATGTTGCTGGGTGCGTGTCGGATCCTCCAAAAATAGTGTATTTTTGGAGGATCCGACACGGGTGCGGTATCATTTTGGAGAGTCCGCGCAGCATAGCTTCCATCCTTAATGTTATTATAATCCCGCCCATCCTGTATACAAACAAAACAGATCTCTCTGTTGATTTCTTGGAGGTCCTTTTAATATTAGAACCAGATGTTTGGATTTGGATAACACAAACAGCTACGTATATGCTGACCCATTCGTCCTTGAAACGAGCTCTACTCGATATTTTTCTTGAACTGAATAGTCGTGAGTCGAGATGGTTATCTTTAGCCTTCTAGAATTTTCACATATTTCTTTATGATTTTCATCCAACATATATTAATTTGTGTGTTGATATACCTATTAATTTCAATATTTTCAATTGTTTCTGCAGGTGGGAGTAAAATTGTAAAGGAAGGATCAAAAGATCAATCGCCTTCACGTCCTAGACTTGACAAACAAGAAATTACTGTTATGATGGAGGAGATGCAAGCAAAGATGGAGAAATTTCAGGATGACATGAATAGCATAAAGCAGCAAACTGGAGTGTCAGCTAAATGTGCAAATGGATTGGATTCCCTTGAGTTCTCCGATGAGCCTATCAAGAGTTCAACGCCTGCAAAATCTAATAGGAAAAAGGTTTTCATTCGTTCTCGGCTGTAGAAAGCAGTACCAATCTTGGCAATGAGGAATCTTCACTTCTGTAATTTTCATGTGTTTTGCATTGTATCTGTGTAATATATGTATTAATATCTATATAGAAGTATTGAACTGGTATTCAGATGTGCGAACTACAGCGTCCACTCCACTTCCCAACCAATCAGACATCCTGGGGTGTGCTAACATTATGCTCTATTGCTCTGTGGTTCTTTCTAAAACTGTGCATTCTCTCAAGTGTTTGGTTGCTTAACACCATAACACAATCGATCAAACACCATATTAATATTTATTTGTTCGACGTATCTCAAGAATTAATGATAACTAAAATTCTGGTACTATCTTGTTTTTCGATATATATATATATATATATATATATATATATATATATATATATATATATTAGATCATACATAAAGTTCCCTTAGGCATGCAATCATTATATCAAACCATATTCCCCTCTAGCATAAAATTTAGACGGAGGGTCCAAATAACTGAGAACGAATATATATTGTTTCCGTAGTTAACTTACTTTCACAGTATCACAAACTCAATATGTGAAGGTACTTCACCTTCAAGCTGGAGCTTAGCAAAATTTCTTGACATTGACATGAGTGTCATATTGAGAACGAAGATCAATAATAATTTTCTCGAGCGCGTTAGCATTTTCCAGAAAATATGCAACAAGCTCAAGTTCACTGGTATAGCCATAATATCCGCACGACCTGATCACTTTGAGGTGATGGAGAGGACTTCTTACGACCTTCTACACTCTCTTTTAGACCTTAAGGGGTCGTTTGGTTGCCGGTTAGAGTTATGCAGGTATTAGTTATACATGTATTAGTTATGCAGGGATTAGTTATGCAGGGATAAGTAATGCAGGGATTAGTTATGCAGGTATTAGTTATGCAGAGATTATTTTTTTGAATGTTTGGTTTGTTGTATTAGAAATTGATATACATTATATAAATTGTAAAGTAAAATGCTTGTTTACAACTATACCCCTGGCCTTCTTTTGCATTGTTTTTTCTCTCTTTCCATTTATGTAGGAAACAATTTAGTTAGGAACTTTGATGTTACTTCACTTCTTCGTCATACTACTGAACTATGTGAAGTTTAGACATATTTGATTTTCACTTCTTAGTTTTGGTATTTCTATTTTCTAGTGGCTTCTCCAGTTTGCTTTTGCTAGTTTGTTCTTTAAAAATGATAGAAGACAAGGTATATAGTTGGCAAGTGAAAGCAAGTGAAACCTGTTGACGGGTTGGCAAAGAAATAAGGAAGCCTTATGTGTAAAGTGATAGGGGTAAATTTGTCATTTCAGTATTTTATCCATGTATTACTAATACATGTATTAGTTATTCCATCTTCTACCCCGCATAAAATAATACACAGATTGACTCATAACTTATACATGTATTATTTATGCATAATTGAAAAATGTCAACCAAACATGGTATTAGTTATGCAGAATTTTATACAAAATAACTATTGCCTACCAAACATGGTATAAGTTATGTTACCCCTTATACATGAATAACCTTTCTTCTAACCAGCTACCAAACGACCTCTAAGTGGTTGAACCACAACAACTTTAATTCAAATTCCTTCAGCAGCGGGGCAGCCCTGTCACACGTGCGCAACCTAATAGCCTGTTTGGCCAAGTTTCTTTCCGGCCAAATGAGCTTTTTTGGTGTTTGGCCAAGATTTTAGAAGGAAAAAAAAATGCTTTTGACTTTTGAGTAGAAGCATAAACACTTTTTTGTAAAGCACTTTTCTGAAAAACACTTGTGAGAAAAATACATTTAGAAGCACTTTTTAAAGTTTGATCAAACACTAATTGTTAAGTACTTTTCAAAATTAGCTGATTTTAGAAGCTTGGCCAAACAGGCTAGTATAAGACACTCATGTCTTTCGGTACATGAACACGTACGATGAATTTCTTGAGCTTGGTAAATTCAGGATATTCTCATCGTTCATTAGCAATTGAGAGAGAACACAGGAAACCCGAGCCAATATGTCATCTATAATACGTATGAAGGGGCCAATAATGTCTAACTCAATCAGCATATATAGGAACATTGGAAAGGAATAATGTGTGTCCTGATGAAGTCCCAAGTGTTACAAGGTTTGCATCACGGATTTTAATTGATTTTACATTGGGGCAAGTACCATATAGCCAAGTGTTTCAACTCGAGGGAAGGACCAACAATTTCCAAATTTACCAGCGTTCTTGAGTTCCTTTACATACTTAAAGCTATTGAGTTTGGCCGAACTTGCAGCTTATCTTCCAGCTCTGCCTTGGTTGACCAGTATAATGATTGAGAGACCAAAGAGTTGGGTCGGAAAAGTATAACAATAATCAAAACCTCGAGTCTCCTCTCCAGCCTCTGCAAATGCAAACTCATGTAGCAATCTCATGCAGGGCAAATTTGTTTAAATCTAAACAAACACGAAATTCGTCTAATCTCTCAACTTACAGTTTTGCAAAGTATCCGGTTGATACATCTCACATACTTCTTCATATGCATTTCCCGTAGCTTGTGATTGAGTAATACTTGGTGTTATGGTTTGGTAGCATCAAAAATCTGTTGGACTTTAAGCCATTGGGCTTTAAAGTAGAAGAAGTGTGAATTGGAAATGGAGGGAAATAAAATGGAGGGAAAAATAAAAATTTGAAAAAGTGAACTTTTGTCTTGCACTTTGTCCCTCATTGGTGAGGGACAATCACATTTGTGTGCTTATATATAGAATCACTTCTTAAAGCTCTTAAAAGGAGTTGAAGAGAATGAACCCTCGCGCCGTCGTCGTCGATCGGCTCGGCTTCGGATTTGGATCGATCGATAAGATTATTTTTGGACAAAATTTATTTAATTATCTAATAATTAATTAAATGCCAAATCACTGCTGAAAATACGCCAGAACCCTGCTGAAGATTCAGAGGGACTCTCTGGCCGCGGTTCTACCGCAACCGCAGTAGAACTGCGGCAGGCAGATTCAAAGAGCCTCTCTGACCGCGGTTCTGCCGTAACCGCGGTAGAACCGCGGCAGGCAGCGTATTCTTCTGAAAAGGCACCTTTTCCAGACACCTCTTCTGATAATTGCCTATAAATTCTGAGGCAACGCTCCATTTTCTACACACGAAAAACACTCCAGAACTTCTTTCTTTTTGAATATACTGCATCCTAATTCGCAGTCTCTCTCTCTCTCCAATTCGTAAGTGTGATTCTGCTCCGTTCTTTGAGTTCGTTGGGATCCTGCAGTTTGTATTGCCACTGTTGTAGGAAGGTTTATTCCGTTTTATCCTGGGAGGATTTAATCCATTACCTTGGCAACTTGTGAGGGGGTTAAAATTCCTTAAGGACACACAAGAAATTTGTGGACTCAGAATATTTCTGATTCTCTACTATTTTCCAGATTTCTTTAATTCTTCTAACAGTTTTTTTTATTTTTTCTGATTTTGTGTTTTAACACAGTAACGCTCACAAAATCAAGTTCCGGAATATATCTCCACAAGCGTAAGTGCGTAACCACTGCTTGGAGACAACATTGGTGCCTGCTGCTTCCTTAATTAATGCTATGGAAAGACAGTATATGTACCAGAATATCATCAGGCAACTGACTTATGCGAGTGTAAGCTTGTCTTGGACACTTCTTTAAAGCAAAATTATTGAAAAATTGCAGTCTTTTCTCCATGAGTCTCATGGGAAGGAAAGAAACAGAACAAAGATGCACTAGACCTTAAACTTCAAATCTTGACTTTCAAACCTGAATCAAAATAAGAGTTCTTGCTGACACATATAAGAGAGCCTACTCTGACTGGAACCTGGATAGAAAATTTTGGTATTTTACTATAAGTTTTGGACGTGCATTGATCGGCACAAACTTTTTAGAATAGAATTTAACCACAAAAAATATCCGAACAATTTTCTTAAAGTTGAACGTGGCATTGTACTATCAAAACTAAACAGTGTAATTGTTTATCCGTAAAACAGGACAAGCGAACTTATTTGATCCCAAAATAATAAATAAATTAAATGAAATATAAGATTTAGCATTGAAATCAAGAGAAATATCAAGCAATCTGGTTCCGGGAGCAAAGCTTCTCAAGATAGCGATAAGGACAATATTAGACACAAAATAAAGTTATATTATTCACCTTGATAGTAAAATGTGGCATAAGTTTGCCAGAGACTTCGTCCCTTACGATGGTTGTTGAAGCCACTATTTATAGCTATATCTAGGGAACAAGATCCTAGGATCAAGCCCCTTTTAAATGATAATGAAGGGGCCATTGATGAATATGTAATGACAAGCCATGAATACCAGTATTCCCAGCAGGATCTACCCAATACCAAGGAATATTCTTCATTAAATATCATCTGGTGACAAACATCTGTTTGCTCCCGTTAGCCGTGTTTCCATCGGGATCTACCCAATACCAATCGAAGTTGTTGTCCTCGGTCTTGGTTTCCACTCGCTTTATCTTTCGTCTACGTCCGGTTCCACGTGTCACGTCATCATTCAAGCATTTAATATAAACCAATTTTGATTTGATCCCAAAATGATAAATAAATTAAATGAAATATAAGACTTAGCGTTGAAATTGAGAAAAATAGCAAGCAGCCTGGTTCCGGGAGCAAAGCTTCCGAAGACAGCGATAAGGACAATATTAGACAGAAAATAAAGTTATATTATTTAGCTTGATAGTAAAATGTAGCATAAGTTTGCCAGATATTTCGTCCCCAACAATGGTTGTTGAAGCCACTATTTATAGCTATACCTAGGGAACAAGATCTTAGGATCAAGCCTCTCTTAAATAACAAAAAAGGGGGCCATTGATGAATATTTAACGGCATGCCATGAATACCAGAATTCTCTACAACGGCTGCATAATTAATATTGAGGAACATTCTTCATTAAATTCCATCTGACGACAAACATCTGTTTGCTCCAGCTAGCTGTGTTCCCATCGGGATCTTCCGGGTACCAATCGAAGTTGTTGTCTTCGGTCTTGGTTTTCACTCGCTTTATCTTTCGTCTGTCTCCGGTTCCACGTGTCACGTCATCATTCGAGCATTTAATATAAATTAATTTTACCCTTTACAATAATGAGAAAGAGATGAATCAAGTCTTTTTATCTAATTGAGTATATCGATTAGAGTATTATCATCTCTTTCTTTTGAGATTGTATCAATTATCAAATATTCAAACTTTCTTTTAAACTTAAGTTTTGAATTACCGGGTTCATACTATTTGACATATTTAAATTTTAAAAGGATAATATATGCGTAAATA